AGATCTCATGATGGGTTTCAGACAAAGGAGAGGGAAAAGTAACTTTTACACAGTGTAAACTTCTGATAAGGACAGTGTCATGTTAGGGCTCTCCTGTCAGATGACTTTAGATTGACATTGTGAAAAAGAGATCATCTTTAGATTTATTGGAGGGGAAGAAAAAATGTGTCTGACTATGAACACAAAAAAGTCTTCATTATACATTTCTAACTCGTACCAGTGATGACTCTGTTGTCACTCAATTGAAGCAATCTTATTAACTAACTGCTTATATATAGCACTTCAATGTACATTCAGTCTATGTGTTTTTTTGTGAGCAAAAAACTGTTAGCCAACAGTTTTGTGACTTTGTTAATTAAAAAATGAAACGATATAATTGTTGCGTAATAAGGGAAACTTTTGCTAGTCATAGAGATCAGGGGCCTTATTCACAAAGCCTCCTAAGCACTAAGAGTAGCTCCTAGTGACACACGTCTAAGAACATTTTCATGACATTTTCTAAGAATTTTCCCCTAAAAGTTGAGACTAGATCCTTGTCAAGATGATAGTTATTCACAAAGTGTCTTAGCCTCTTTCCCTTTTATGAAACATGGGTCTTAACTGAAGTATTCTTTTGTTTGAATCCAATTTGACAGTGCTCATATGCTTTTTTATTATAAGAATATTAGTTTATTACTTGGCCAATTAGTGAATTTATGAGGTAATGAGGCAAAAAATATGTTGGACTCTGCATCTGGATTAGGAAAATGACCTATACATCTATTAATTGTTTAAATGTGCATTGTTTACATTTGTATTCTAAATGTTGTGTCTAAATATTGCTAATATAAATGTCCCTTTCCTTTTATTCCTTTTTACAGTTTCAATAGGCCTGCCTCGTAATGTTTCTTACCACATTGGTGATTAGTGTAATAGTGTAGTATGTATTGTTATAATTATCTCTAAATCAGTGATTCCCAAAGCGGTGTACGGGACCCTTGGCAAGGCTTAGCAAACACAATGCACAATGTTTTTCAAAGCAAGCAAAGCATGGTGAATTTTGTGAGAGGACTTCAAGGTAAATTAATCTACACCAGATGTGACTGACTGTGTTTTGTGTATATCGATATATGTTGATGTCTATGGTGAGGGGGCTTGGAAATAATTGAATTTACCAAAAGGGGACCCAGCAGAAAAAGTTTGGAAACCACTGCTTTAAATGGAGTAAAAAAAAATTTTTATTGAATTATTTTGATTTTATAATAAAGATAAGCATAGATATGTGTTTATTCCCAATGAACATCATCAATAATCAGTGTTTTCCCAGCTTATATTTTACATGAACAGTCTGATTGTAAGATATATCAGCAGCAAATATCTTCAACTTGTATCTTCTTAACATATTTTCTCTTATTCCTTAGAGGCTGTGCTGTTGCAATAAAATATTTGGGTGATGAAACAGAGTAGTAGTTTGCACATGAGATCTTGTTTCGTATTCAGAGCCTCTTACATCAACTGAGCATTAGTCCATAGTCTCCAAGATGTCGAGAACTTCACTTTGAAAAATGCAGGTTAACACCATGTCTAAAATGATGCATATTGTACTTGAACACTTTAGTGCAAAACGAGAGGGTCTCTTCAAGTAAAATTATGCCAGATGTAAAAATCGATTCGCTGACATGACTGAGGTGCAGAAGCGCAGAAAAATATATTCTCATGGTCTAATTTGTGAGACGTAAGCATTGTCAGCCTCAACCAATTCTAGAATTTTTAATAGTTTATTGTAAATGTGATTTCTTCCAGTTGCTTCTACTTGTAATTGAGCGACATGCATGTTTAGTTTTCTTAAAATTAAAAGGCCAAATCCCGTTTAAATGCATTCAATGACAAATGGAAAGTTCTATGACCCCATCTCTAATGGCATTTCTTATGAGCATGTGGCTTATATTTTCTGTCCAGCTTTTATTATTTTGACAATGGTCATACCTTTCTGGACCAACTTCACTGACATCATTCTGCTCATGTTTTTTTTGGATTGATCATTTCATGTGCTGAATATTTTAAGACGATTATAAGAGCAAAATGTTGATATCTTCTTGGTTCAAATGAAACCCAGCGTTTCAATAGTTAGATGGAAGAAAATAAAATCCACTAAAGGCAGATACATTTCAACAGATGTAATTTTGACTACTTAATAAGAAACTAGCAGAGGAGGAGGCAGGAGGTGGTTGATAATGGAAATGGTACCAGCAATGAGTAGCAGGATTAAGAGCAGGAAGCGTAGTGAAATATGAGCAACAGGATGAACAATTATAAGATGATAAACATCACCTCAGGTACTTGCAAGAATGTGATTGGAGGTTATATAAATCTGTCCTGATTAACCCTGCTCAGCAACAGGGAATTCCCCAAACATAGCATTATGTGTGAGTTCTGCAGTCATGTGACATAAATGAAAACCATGTGGAGGTTTGAGCAGAGGGTCAGGAGTTCTAAAGGCTTAAGATAATATACCACAGATATTACCACTTTGTAGCTACTGTTGTTAATGGCACTCAATTTGTTAGGTGCATGCAGTGATGGCATGGGATTGAATACATGTAAAAAAAAAAAAGTTGAAATCCCTGAGCAGTGAAACAATTTTTTCTTATGTTGCAGAATGATGATTTAAGCCACAACGTGTCATCAATGTAGTGAAGCAAACCAAAATATGACATTGTCAGCTGGGCAGAAAGACCAATAGGTTGGTTTAGGTTAAACACCTCAACACTGTTTGTTATGCAAAACATTCATGTTCCCACAGAATCAATTCTATTATATATTTTTTGCATTTTAATGCACTTTTAAATATTTTCTATCTTTACTATTTTTAATTAAGATTGTGTACATGAATCATATTTTTTTTAAATGAGGGTTAACCTAACATGCTTACATAATCATGTTATCTTAAATATATCTCACATCAGTCAACAGCCTTCAGCCAGGTTCCTTTGGTTCAGTGGTAAAGTTTCTCATCTCGCTCTCGATCCCCAGCTCTTGCTTTCACATGTCAAAATTTCCTTGGGCAAGACAGATTTCACAGATGTTCTGAAAATGACAAGTATTGGTACAAATCATTCTTAACCCTTCACATCTTCTGGGAAAAATAAGAAGCAGCTACTTATCTGATTAAACAACAGATTAGATGTTACAGTACACAGTACTTATGGAGCAGACTTCCAGGCACCCAGAGATATGTCTCCAACACAAAAATACACATTAATTTTCATCGATGTGTATGCCAATCAGTCAAGCCTAACGAAGCCCAATCCTTGGCTGTGTGGATCTCTCCCACAGCAGTGTGACTCACCCCGAGCTTTGCAGTCAGTGATGTGGATCAACCTCTATCTTCACAGGAAAAACTGCTACGGCTTTCACTTTTCTATCTCATTATGCACTAACAAAAAACTTCCTAATAAACCAAGCATGCTCAAATCAGCCATGCGAACATGCACACAAAGTGAGCAAAAAGTTGTGATGGTACTGATGCTAGCATTCACAGCGATCTTTCTTTTTTTTTAATTTTCACTGTTATAAAAATTAGAGATTTAAAGCATAATTGGAAAATAAACCAATTGATTTTTTATAATCTGTATAATGATTATTTAAGGGCATCATACCATACCATACCATACCTTACCTTACCTTACCTTACCTTACCTTACCTTACCTTACATATGGTAAATGGACCTGAGCTTGTATAGCGTTCCTTTAGTCTTCTGACTACTCAAAGGGCTTTTAAACTGTAGGTTACACTTACCCCCTACCTCCCTTTCACGTAATGTACATGAAGTTCCCTCCTGTTAGTGTGTGATTTCAGAGAATGAGTCAATGGGATGAGTCACCATCGCAGTTGTGACTCATCTCCAGAGTAACACAACGTACTCATACATACTTAAACACACACTCGCACACACAAACACACAATCCTCTGCATGTTCCTACAGCTTCACCTCACATGCCACATCCCACATAAAAAATGTACGAGTTCTTGCTATACTGCGCATGTAGTGCTCCCTTTGGCAAAGTGTTTTATGTATGTGCTCCCTAGCTCTGTACACTAATGTACTTTTAATAGTTTTGCTTTTAGGAAAGTTTTTGCTCTGAAATGTTGCATTTAAGGACTTGAGACAGATTGAACTACAGCTCTGGATAGTTTTATTTATATTTCTTTTTTATGAGTTAAGTTAAGAAAGTATTTTTGGTAGTTCTTTTTGTTTGCCATTTTATTTTGTCTTTTCCGTTCTTTTGTTTCTGAATTTGCTGTATGCACGTTTTTTTATTCCCGAGTCTTGTCTTTATTGTTTCCTGAGATTGATACATGCAGAGACAAGTCAGTATTGAACGTTGGCTCACATTGCATTAGTGATAATAGGGATATTTCTATTGGTTAAAACACTATTGGAAACAACATTGATAGACATATGAAAAGACAAATCAATGATGAAAGCATTGTGCATTTTTTTTGGTTGGCTAAAACCAGGACAGAAACTGTTCAAAACCGGGACATATTACAGGACGGCCCTGGTCAAATCATTATGTACGGTCACCAGCTAAAGCCGGACAGTCCCCAAAGGCTTGAGCCAACCGTCAAAGCCAATTCTTCATGGTGGCTGAACCTGGTAATGCAGCGTCACATGGTGAATGGTAAATGGACTTAAGCTGAAGTATTCTGACTACTCAAAGCATTATTATACTGCAGGTCCCATCACCCACACACTGATGGCATTTACTTAGATATCAAGAGTTTCTCTCTAAATTACAGATACTAGTCAAATCCAAAGAATATGTAATTTATTGTTTTCATTTTACATAACATTTACCCAACCACAAACGACACCTTGAAAGTTTTAAAATGTATATCGACTACTCTTGTGATTTTTGAGGCGGAAACAATCCTTCATTTGTTTTTATCCAGAACATACTCAAATATTTTTGGTTGTTGTTCAACATTATTTAAGGAGAATAACAAGACAAAATGGTCAATTTCCAGAAAAAAATACATTTTCATTTATTTCGAAGACATTGTGAAGGACAAAATATACGTTTTATACAGCTGACTCTGAGTATGGGGAAATTTGACATGCTATAGACAGACTCCAAACTGCACTTTGAACATTTTTTACTAGAATTGAACCACAATGCTATGAGAAAAAATTTAAAATAAAAATAGGAGAAAGATATTACAACGAACCATATTTTTAAGAAATTTCACCAGGCTTCAATGAATTTGATACTTAATAGTTATACTGTGTACCTTATATACCTGGCATCAATCTTTTGTATGTATTTTCTGTTCTGTTAATATCTCTATGACAAAAAAAAACACATCACCACAAAAAACATTTTATACATACATTTAAATTATCTTGCTAACTGATATTCCTACAATATCCATAGTTTTACATTATGTGAATGCTTATTATTATTATTTTTTTCTTATTTCATTTAAAAAAAAAAAAAACAATTACATTGTATAACTTTAGCATTTAAGTTGCTGTCCTTTTTTCTGCCACACCAACTCCTCCGATTTTTTTTATGGCATGTATTGACTTTTTAGTTATTCAGTTTCTACATCATTTTTCCTCTTCCAGTTAATTTGAATGAATTGGATGACCTGATCAAGCAATTGGCCTGTGCAAATTATTCTCACCACAATGCTTCATCAGTCACTTGCAACTACTGTACCTGCAAACAAAAACATGATTGGTGTGAAAATCAAGGGAGTGGAAATGCTGGGCCAATCAGAAAATAGTCTTTGTTCGGAGTTGAAAATAGAGCACTTGAAACCAAACTGTTGCCTGGATACACAGATTGTAGGCAATTATGGAGCCAGATTATAGTGGGGAAAAAATAGGTGATGTTGTGAATGGAGCACGAGCATGTATGTAGGCGTGTGGGTGTGGGTACGAGTGCATTTGTATGTGTCTGAACATGTGATCACCACAGCATGCTTTGCTTTAGTGGATGTAAAAATGTAGAAATGTTAATTATTCTTCCAATTGTAGAACCCCTTTAATGTCCTGTGATCTGTGTATGGTGAGTGAAAAGCAAAATGGATTTTCTGTGGGATTAATGCTAAATCACTATCTTGTTTATTTTGAAAGAAAGAACAGCAACTATTTAAAATATTGATACAAATAAACCAAACAATGCCATCATATTGCTGCCCTTTTGTGTGATAAACATATCATACAGTCTTAGGGGAGCAACAAAGGCGCCTAGAAACAAAAGAGCAGGTCCAGTGTCTTACAGCAATGCCCCATCCAATATGTTCCTTTCTGTAACAGTTCCCATTTACGCAGACATTCAGCCTTGTCACACCTGCTGTCGGCCTATTGGTGGAACAACACCACACATACTCTGTGTTTGTTCCTTGTATACAGAAAGGTAAGGCAGACCAAATACCTGACATTCCTGCCTTGAACAGGTTGCGTCGAACCAACATTATTTTTTTTCCTGAGAAAAAGGAGCTGGATGCTGAAGATACCAACAGCTTGTTAAATGCTATCCATGGTGAGCTAAGTGCTAACTGATACAAACTCGCCCTCCACTTGTTAGTCTCTCTATGTTCTCTCGACTGTACTGTCTACTGTTATTATTATAATTATTGAAGAGGGGACAATAAATTCACACGGTTTGACTACCTGCAAATCACTTTAAACCATTGATTTTATTTGTGGAGCAGTTGTTACTTCAACAGAGGAGATAAATAATAAGAGTAGACAGTGCAACATAGTGAACTAGGATTACGTCTTCTCTGGACTCTCCAGCTCCAGCTCTTCATTTTTCACACTGTCAAAAAATATGTAAATTCAGGCATCGAAGTTATTAACTTTTCTATCTTTGAAAATATTCAACCGCTTCGAGACAGTCCTGAGCCTTTTGTCTAAATATAATACTATCACAAAACAACACCCATTTAAAGAATAATTGATCAGAAAACCACTTATATAAGGTCCAAAGACTTAAAAAAAAAGAAAAGCCTGCATACGAAATGGCTGGGTAGCAATCACTCTTAAGAAGTGAACTGCACATTTTCCTCTTTCAACAGTGTTACTGGTATTTTCCCCTCTTTTGTACTTGGCGGCTTAGTAACTACCTCCCTTGGGACCCTGAATCCCCACCAGTTTGACCGAGACTTTCTTGTTTGTTCCCCAGCCCCTGGTCTGTAGAACAGCCTCTCTTTCAGATTGGACCTTGGGAAAGTCCAAACAACAACCCCTATTGCTGCCAGGGCTGAGCCGAAACAGGTGAGCCAGATCCCAGCCGCAGTGCTGAGGTGCAGCCCCCTGTTGAAGCTGATGGCTTGTGTGTCTACAAAGAACATTTCTCCCTCTCCAAATGACTCAATTCTATGAGGAGTGGTGTAACAAACTGATAGGCTGGCAACTCCTGCAGTCAGTATCAGGAGACCCAAGGCCAAGGACACCTAGAAGGAGAAGGAGACAGACATAATAACCATTTGTGCAGCTCTTCTGGTGGCCGTATTTGCTTAGCACATTTCATTTCCTTGAAGAAAAGGTCATTTTGTTGTTTGTGATGCAAAAAATACAAATTTGCAAATGGTCAGAGGGCTTAAATATAATACAGTATCTCACCTTTACAAAAACCATGACGCTACTGCCTGCAGTTCATCATTTAGAGAAAACAGTTTAAAATGACTGGATTACATAAATACACAATAGTGAATTTGAAAAAACAGTTATCAGGTATACATTAGCCTTACACTACGTTATTACATTATACAACTGATGTCTAATAAGAAGGGAAAAAGACTCAAAATTTATTGAATTGCATATAATGAAAGTAGATACTGGAGGGCATGATTTACGTACCTTCCAGATGGCTGAGTTCCACCATAGGGTTGACCTCTGGCTCTGAACAAACCCTTGAGAATCTGGGTCTCTCTCTCGCATAGAGGAAGAGCACTCCTCATAGAAGTGGTGCAAATAGGACCGAACCCCAAACTGAAGACAGCTTGAACCTGCCTGTAAAGTTGTTGTTCACAAGATTACCAAATTAACAGAGAGAACAAATCCCCAGTGATGTATCAGTCTGCATTGCTATTTATCCATCCAACAATAACTTATTTTATAGTAGATGCTAGAACAGTTGCTGTGACCTCATATATCATTACTATGTGTTGTAATAATATTTTCCAATGAATGATAATGTACTATCAAAAAAGCACAGGAAATGTGATTTAGGGCAGGTCTGGGATATGTGTTCTTACTTTAAATGTAAGCAGTTAGTTCCCTGTTTGTTACAACATATTTCCACTAATGGCACATTACATGTTTTTTTTAATTAATAAAAATGTAGATAATCCCTAGGGGCAACCATAGCTCACCTCATTACCATAGGTTTCCCCTCCTGAGACCGAGACACAAGCCTCAGAGCACAGAGCCATCACACCTTACACACCTTGTACACCTAGAGATGCAGACAAAAACTGGTGGTAAAACATATTCAGATTGCCAAACACATCTACTGTACTGTACGTGTATACATGGTAGCTGCTAGGTTGTTGCAACACAAACACTGTTTATTTGCTGAATATGGATTTCCCTCAATAAAAGCCTCCCTCCCTTCAGAGGCTACTCATCAATCTTGTACCGTGCCATCAGGTTGCCCCAGTTATTGTTGCTGTCTGTGAACAGTTGACGACTACCTTGGCCCTGAGGTGGCTCTAACGCCACCCACAGATGAGTCACACATGAGTGCATGCGCAAACCTATATGCGCACACATGTCACTGTTGTTATTCTCCTGAGGTTGTTTGATTGATTTCCTTCATTCTCTGCCTTCAAACTGTTTTTCTTGGTGGCCACACAGGCCTGATCTCAGTCTGCACACTAGAACTACTTAAATCTGACAGAAGTGTGAAGCACAACCCTGTAAACAAATCATCAGAGCTGAAAACCTGACACAGGAAATATTGTGTTTTTACCCTTTTCCAATGTCAAACTATTAAGCTAGGTACAGTGAGTTGTTACAAACTCTTTTATGAGTCCGTCTGATTTGTGTTTAAAAGATTCATAATGTGAGGATATAAACAAAACTTTCGGAAACAAACATGTCAAGCCAATATGGTACACCCTATGTTATCTCATATTTCAGTTTCTAAAAACAGTTTCAGAACTGAGACAGCATTTAAGCCTCAAGCAACTTATTACATTTTTATCTTAAAAAAAAAAAATCTTATAGGCTTAACACAAATGTATAAATACAACAGTCATCCCCAACGTTTTTGATCATTATTCATAAGTCCTGTAACAACACTTAGTTTTCATCTAAAACTAATGGTTGAACTTTTATAGTCTATTGAATTAATCTTTAATACTATGCTATGATGTATTGCCTGTTTTGTAGTTGTTGTTGTTGTTAATTATGTTGTTGTGAAGGATGAATTTGACTTATTATTTCACCAAAATGGTTTAAATCGGATGTCTCTAAAAAAAACTTGGTTACTCGCAGGACATTGGGTACGTTGTAAACAAAACTAATCTGTCTAAATCACTTTTGTGGCTTCTTTTTTTTTCTATTATATCTCGTGGATTTCTGAGCTTTTCTTGGACTGTTCTCAAACGCATGAAAACTTGCTCCAAGCTTTGTCTGATTATTCCTTCTTACAGAGGATATCTAACCAGAACGCTGTCCATGGTACTAGTGAATTTGCCCAAACTTCTCCCCTGACGCTACCATCTATATCGAGTCATGTTATCTTAACTGGCCACATAAATTGTAAGTTGCTTTCCCTTTTGAATTCTGTAATAGCTTATACATTAAAAGCGGTCATATTTGATACGACTTTGGATTTTTATTTCAACTCAGCGCAGAAATGGACCGAGCAGCACTCTGGACAACAGCAAAGACATCGCGGCCATGAAGCTCGGCCCGTTTTACACTTTTTTTCATCGCACTTTACCGCGACTATAGACATCTGCTGTCCTCCCTTTGTAACCAGATTCACAAGTCTGTTCTTACCTTACCCCCCTGGTCGGAGTGCCCCTCCTTCTTACTGGAGATCCATGTTGCTGTCGGACCGGTTGATTTCGCTACTGCTGATACACTGAACCGAGTAAGTGAGCATGCGTGAAGGTGGAAGTAAATAGCCGATGTCTAAATAATAACTACATCATAAAACAGGAAAACACTGAAAACGAATCTCAGGGTAATCAACAGAAAAAAATACACACAGTAAAACACAAGGAGAAATAACAAAATAAAACACTAAAGAGTAAACTAGGAAACATTGAACACACAATGGAAATGAGTCAAAATAAACAACTCTAAAAAATAAACATTAAAAATATAGCCTACAAATTACAAAACTAAACAAGATCGAATCATGACACTTTTGTGAACAACAATGAGATAATTGTTGTGATGAAACATTTTTATCAAGTCTTATTAGTCTTTTAAATCTTATAGAAAAGGTTGTGATAACAAATGATGGAAACAAAAATGGAATATTCAAATGAATCCAGTCTACATGAAAAGAAATTTTGTTACCAGGCAGAATAACAGCACAATGTGTGTGTGCGTGAGGTTAGTGGTTTATCATCCTTGTCTATTTATTATCTGAGCACAGTATGGTATAGGCATAAAAGCCTGGATTGAGGTGCCAAGGGGCCCTTGAGGAAAACTGTTCTTGTTTGTTATTCATCACACACAGACACACACACACACACACACACACACACACACACACACACACAGACACACAGACACAGACACAGACACACACACACACACACACACACACACACACACACACACACACACACACACACACACACACACACACACACACACACTAAAGGTTTTGTATGAGCAAACTGTGAGTGAGAGAATAAGAGAGAGAGAAAATTTCCATGGTTACCAGTGCAGCAGGTCAGACACAGGAAATGTTGGCTGCTGTTGATTGGCTGACAGATAATTACTCTTCCCCTTAAGATGGTGAGCAAACAGCATCTTTTTATCTGTTCTTTTTAAAAGCTGTTGTAAAGCAGTATCATTCATTTGAGCAGCATGCTCAGCTGCCCTTATTACTTCCTTCTTTGAACAGCATGGGAGGGTTATCCTTTGGTGTGATAAATTGTGCATTGTGCTTGTCTGGTATCTTAAAAAATAACCTGTGCATCAACCCACACATGCCTATAAAGCCACTGTCAATATGAAGAAACATCCAAGCCATCATGTTAATTGGCAGTGAAAAGCTTTTCATTTATTGGCCAAAAAAATCAAAAGAGTGAATCTTTTCCCAAAGCCACAATATTTAGGTTTGATGATTAAGCTGACAGTTTCCGTCTTTTATTTATCCACCTGTCTAATCCCTGTCAGTGTGGCAGGAATGGTTGGTGCTACTCCAGCAAGAACTGCCAGACACTTTTTGACAAGTTGCAGTTCAGTGGAGTGCCAGTACTGATAGAGACACACACTTCATCCTTGTGTCTCTCTTAGTAATACTTTTTTGGAAACACTGCTTCTACATTTCATTCATTCAGTTGTTACACTTAAAATGATTAATTTGCTTTTAGGAATACAGTCAGTTTCTTGCTGCAAGTAATACAAAAATCCATTCCATCCCCAAGTTCCATTCTGTGATATTTGTATTTAATTCAAGATAAAGATACAGATCAGACTCTCATAACATCAGGAAAAACCTTCTTAATAGTACTGCATGATTATATTCTAGGTGAATTGAAGCTTCTGGATTTCTTTCTTGAAAGTAGCTATTTTAGCCAAACTGTTACGTATGCATCCAGCTTTGTTTAAACCTAAATCTTTTGTTATATTCATTGGAGCCGTGCTTTTAGTAAGCACACATTTAATTGTGCAATAAAAAATGCCCTCTCCCTTACTGTTATATGAAGCGAAGCTGCTTGTAGCGCTGCAGGCAGAGTGATGGAAGTGCATAGTTCAGAAGGTCACTGGATGTGTTTGTGGGTGCTTGGCCAGGGAAAGGCTGCGTTACATCACACAGAGTGTCAGATAATGGCACATTAACATGAATTATGCATCCCATGTTGACAAGTCAAGTGTAACACAGTGAGTCTAAATATTCTGTGAGGTAAGAAATTCATAGAATAGAATAGCACTTTGGGAACTAATGGGCCGTCATGTGTCACATTCTATGATGAAGAGGTAGAGGAGTGTGCGTGCACATGTCTGTGTGAATGTGCTCATATACTGCTCGATATTTTACAACATGGGCTAACATGTCCTCTTATCATGGTTGAAGCATCTCACTTTGTTCAACTAGAAAACTGTTTTTGTGGTTGTTTTTATAAATATTGTGAAGTGCATTTGGTGTACTCAGTATAATTAGATAGTGGGGGCTAAAGGGAAACTATCAGAATTGGAATAATCCCAATCAAAAGCCCAAATTAATATAATGTCACAGTTGCTCACTAAAACAAATAGAGGGAACATACTGTAAGTAGAAAAACAAATTGTAATACATATATATATAACACAATAATACAAAGGCAATGAAGTACTGACTAAGAAAAATAGAAGTACTGTATTAGTAAAAAAGCAATATGAGTACAGATGCCACCGCCTGACGCCTAGCTACCACCATCAGACTGTTTCGGCCCCACAACCATCGCCATTCATACACGGCCTGCTCCGACCCCATCAAACCTGTTACCTATACCAATAGAGAGATGATCATCTCACTAATAAGGAATTAATAAGGACCCATATTTTTGAAAAGATAAAGCATTTCCTGAAACAGCTGTGCACTATTTTTTTTTCTTCCAGTCAACAGTTCTTAAACAGGTATAGGCCTGAATATTTAATGGGCAACTCTTAATACCTCAGATCAACACACAGTTGGTCCTCAGTGAGTACTCTAGCAACACATTGCTGGGATTTGGTCACATTAAGAGCTGTGACCCATGTCATCCATTAAAAAAAAATTCAAATTCATGATAGATTTTATTTGTATTACGACAACATGGCAAAGAAGCCAATAGCTCAAGCTTTCAAACGTGTGGAGTAAAGTTAGTTGTAAAAGTGGGTTTCTCTTACAGAGCAGAAATACACAAGTAGTAGAAAATATATTAAACAAGTCTGTGGTAACCCCTTTAAAGTGTAAGATCATGGTCTTGTATTTGAGCTTGTATAGTACTCTTCTAGTCTTTTTGCACTGCATGACATATTTACCCATTCACACCCTGCTATGTAAAGTGTCCTTCAGTATTAATTAATCCCATTCATTCACATTCACACACAACCGATGCTGACACATCGGATATTTGGCTGCAGGAGCTGGGGATCAAACCCCAGACCTTCCTGTTGCGACACGACCGACTCTGCCAATGAGCCCCAGCTGCACATATCCTTTTTGATAAATCACTGGCACACTAGGCATGAAAGTGATGTGAATGTAGAATTAAGTTCTTATTATCTGTTGTAGTCATGTTTTAGCTGCAGGGGAAAATGTTTTACATATCCTGATTCTGTATGTTGAACGATGAAAGAACCCTCTACCGTAAAGCCCTGAGGCATTTCCCCAAGAGGATATATTATTTCATCATTAATCTACTACAGTCAGTCAGTCAGTCTGTCTGTCTGTCTGTCTGTCTGTCTGTCTGTCTGTCTGTCTGTCTGTCTGTCTGTCTGTCTGTCTCTCTGTCTCTCTGTCTGTCTGTCTGTCTGTCTGTCTGTCTGTCTGTCAGTCGGTCGGTCGGTCGGTCGGTCTGTCTGTCTGTCAGTCTGTCTGTCTGTCTGTCTGTCTGTCTGTCTGTCTGTCAGTCAGTCGGTCTGTCTGTCTGTCTGTCTGTCTGTCTGTCTGTCAGTCTGTCAGTCTGTCTGTCTGTCTGACTGTCTGTCTGTCAGTCTGTCAGTCTGTCTGTCAGTCTGTCTGTCTGTCTGTCTGTCTGTCTGTCTGTCTGTCTGACTGTCAGTCTGTCTGTCTGTCTGTCTGTCTGTCTGCCTGTCAGTTTGTCTGTCTGTCTGTCAGTCTGTCTGTCAGTCTGTCAGTCTGTCTGTCTGTCTGTCAGTCTGTCTGATATTACCTTCTTATATTTGTATTTGCGTCTCAGACAGACTGACCCACTTCTTTTTCCTTACCCTGGAGGGGAGGCAGTCCACTGCAGAGCTATCTCGATGGGTTCTTTTCCTTCCCGTCTACCCTCAAGTCATTCCAGCAGCAGATAGCAAGAAAATGTAGGTATGGATGGATTTCATTCCAAAACAGGACTTTCACATGTCTGATCGTTCAAGGTCACGTCAAGAAGATCAATAAAAGTTCACGGATGTACTGGGAAGTGGATAATGTGTGCATGCTCACACAGACAAGCACCTGCTCAGGGTCAGATACAGTGTGTTATCTCAGTTCCCAAATCTGACACTAGATGTCAGTGGAATGCAGCACAGGGCTTTGTAAACACTTGAAAATATCAATGGAAGTTCCTTTGTTTCTTTAGTCTTTACACAACATATTTGAAGTCATTTCATGTGTTTTTCCTTTGCAAGCCCTTATTGGAACCTTGGAGTACAGATATAATTTACATAATGTGATGCGATGAATAGAAGCATTTGTTATGTATGGTTATTTGCTAGGCAACTCAAATTCTCAAGTCGTTTTAAGCCTTTTCTTATATAGAAAAAAAACAACATAAAACAACTACAATCATTTTATGAAGCCTTTTATTGACTGTTTAAAGAAGCAATATCTAAAATATCAAATTGACCTACCAGGCTGGGGCGATGGAAGTCGGTCATAGCAGGGCCTAGAGAAGCCATTCTCTGGTAAAGTGTCATCCACATTAAAAATTAGTTAGATTAAGACCTTTGATCAAATACATGCTCCCTCACTCTTCTTAGTCTGTATGAGCTTTCTCTCCCTCTCTCGCTCTGAGGAGTTGATTTAACATTATTAAAAAATTAACTAAAACTGTCGAACAGTATGATCAGACATCTTTTATTATGTAGAAAACCTCTATTATTACCCTCTATTATGTTTGTGCAAAGATATAAAAGCTGCAGCAGAGAGAAAGCTGCTGTGATTAGTATCACAGAAAGCAGAAAGGATTATAAACAAGTTATAAACTGCTGAAGTAAATGGACAAAATGACAAGTTAAACATAAGTTTACGTGTTTTTATAGCTGATTGTTTTCACTGTGCCTGATTTTGTTGTTGTTAAGTGTTTTATGTCTGAAACTCTGTTATTGTGCTGCTGCCTG